CATCCTTGAAACCAGCTGAAAATCAGAGAAAAAGAAATTGATATCTCCAGTTTGTTTCTTCATTTACCTAGAGGAGCAGGAAAAATTTATTTAAAAGAAGTAGATATATATGATTGCTTTAGGAGAGAAAAAAATTCAGTAGATTTTTTCTGTAATCTTGGGTTAAAAGCGAGTTGCGGCTTTTCTCTATCACTTATATTTATAACATCGTGACATTTTCTGCTTAAAACGACATCGGGAAATTTTTTTGTTTTAAATATCAATAAAAATTATGGGAAAACTATTCTACAGCGCAAAAAATCAGCCAATTTTGACTGGCTACCATGAAAATCAAATAAGCCTTAAAATTAATCCAATAAGCTTTTCACTTTTGACATCAGCGGCTCAAAGCTGAAAATCAGTTTTATGATGTTGAATAGGGCAGACACACAACTCATCTACTACTTCAACCAAAATGTTATCAATTTTGATTTTGAATAATCATAAGGCATTGAAATGAAAATCACTCGCAATAGTATAACTAAGTTAGTTACTTTACCCAGGAATTGAATCAAAACAGTTAATTACAACAAATTTTCAATCAGACTTGTATTGCAAACGATGTCTGAAAAGAAATTACAATTGACTTTTTTACCTATCTCGTTATTTCGCACATCTCGCTATGTCACGCCACTCTCTTTCTCGTCTCTCACCTGTATTCTTGGCCTACTTTTTGGAACAGACCGGTCAGGGACCATGCTTTGAGGGTTGGATCTCCCTGGGAATCAAGGAACGGAATTCCCCCAATGTAAAGAGAGTTGATTGCTTTGCCATCGAATCCAGATAACTGTGGAGGTGCCACGCAAGAGATCGTTTCAGCTGTAATATCATCGACGCTGAAATTGAGAAGAAAACTATTTCTTGCAATTGTCACCAGATGCCAGGTATCGTCGGTAAAGTTTTGACGAATCGTGCGTTTCTCAGGGAAGCACCGATTTCCCCGGACGTAAAGCTGAACGTAGCCATCACTGTTCAAGGACATTTCAAGGAAATCGTTATCAGTGTTCTTTTTTTTGTTATCCTGATACAGTAGTAAAGCAGATCTACTTGCACCTGTTTTAAAGTAGAACTGCAGCTCACTTCTTCTGGACATGGCCCAACCTCTGAACTCTGCGAAAGACCAATCGGCACCTTCGTGGAAATGCAGCCCCGCTACGGAGTCGAGGAGAGCAACTAACGGGCAAAATAGAGCAAATACCTCCATGGCTATGATTCAAAGATCATTAATTGGTAGTTAAAAATTTAATGAAACGCCCGACTTGCTTCACTCTCGAGATTTATGGAGAAACTTCTGGATCAAACTTGAATGTCTTTACTAAGTGGCGAGATCAAATGGTCTGTAAGAACTCAGTCTTTCCAGACATTTACGGAGAAAATACAGTTTATTCAAAACCAGATGAAATGAAATATTAATAAACAGAAATTTAATCCGTTGATAAATCACAATTAAATTTACTTTCCTTTATTAATGGGTTACCAAGCGGTTACTCCGCCAGATGGTTATCGAGTCTTCATACTTACTCACATTTCAAACGCAAATCGGTTAACCAAAAGCATTAATTTCGCATAGTTGAGCACAATTCAAGATGTCAGCGTAAGAAAAATCTGAATAAGTCTGGTTTGGATTGTTTCCTTTCTATGGTTCAAAAAATCTAGGCTGTTTCTCTGCTGTCAGCCGGAATAGTTCTGAATTTATCTCACTTATGTCTTGTTTTCTATTAACCTGCTCTTAGACAACTCACACTAGAGAACCAAACAACTGAAAACAAAAAGCGATGTTGCCTGAACAGACCTTCAAACTAAGCAAAGGAGAAAACTGCTTCGACCTTAAACAGATTAAAATAGATTGAAGGAAATCGAGGAAGGCCTCGTCAATGAAGGTGAACTTTCCTGTACTGACAATGATTTATTTAGTTATAAAACATTTGTGAATATATCACTCAAGTTAACAATTGAAGCTTATATCTGTTACCTCGGGAGCAGTTTGGACCATTGAATCGAGTCTTGCTGCAATCACATTCTCTCCTCACGATCTTGTTCACACATTTCCCACCATTGTAACATTTTCCTCCAAAACTGGGATCTTTGCATGCGTCACGGCAACCCTCCACGGCACGCTCACTTTTCCAAAGAGAGGCGCGGCGTAACTTTTGGTCGCCTACAGCAAACTTTGGTGTTTTTATACACCCCTCAAATCTAGGAAGGAAGAAAACAATTCAAGTTTGTGCCATGTGCTTTTTATTATTTATCTTTGATGGGTCAGATGTTGTTTTGATCAAGTTATCCACAACTGGAGTTCTTTGTACATCCCGCGATCAGTGTTAACTATCAGAGAGAGGTGTGTGTCACGATGTTGTCTTTTGGGTAGTTTGATTGTTTTTTATCTTATCTTCTTAAAGAAAGCGCTCAAAATTATAGGCATAACTTAATTATTATTTTTTTTAAAAATGCGTTTTATTGATCTCTCCTTAAAGTTTGGTTTCAGGGTCAAAATCTCCACTCAAACTGAGTGATTTTCTTGATCTCAGTTCTTTTTATCTGTGCGCTTAGCCTCTAACCTAAGTACGCAGGAAACTGACCGTCTTTAAGGATAAATATGGTAAATTTACTCCTGAAAAATATTTCGGCCTGTTAAACACTTAAAGCTGTTCTTTTTGTTACATCGATAAATTTATTAACTTATTTGATTGAAGGAGATCCCACTCAGACCTTTTAATGACACGCGTACAATTCTCAGGTCTTGAAAATTCTAAATAATGGCTGTGAACAAAGATTAAAAATCAACAGAAAGTAGGTGATATTCCAATTTGTCTTCACCGGGCTCAACAAAATGTTGCATTTGTTTTATTGACGCTTTTCCATCAGACCAATATTCAAATACACATCGAAAGAAATGCGTAGTAATTGCGTCCGTGCCTTACTTTGCTCTGTGATCGGTCCGCTTCAGGGAGTATGTATCTTTTTGCTTTGAGGTTTCATTTGCACCTTGAGATATTATCCTGATTGTTTTTATCACTTTAGTTTATGTTATACGACACTCAATCCAAAAGCGCTCTTAACTTAGCTAAGCGATTAATTCTGATTGGTCGCGCAACCACAGACTGATCACAATGCGCATGCTCGCAACTTTTCCTTAATCGATTTTAAAATATTACTGAAGAACAGGATTTGCCCGGAGTTACGTCATGAATCAAGAAAACCAATCACAACAAAGCAAAACACTGTAAGAAGCCAACGAGAACTCGGGATAAAAACATGTTTTTATCCTGGGTAAAAAGAAAGGTTCACCCTGGTAAGAGTTTTTCAAAATGTATCTTTGTGCTCTAGGTTTGCGTCAGCGACTTGCACCAAAGGAGAATCTTATTTCACAACTAATGAATTGGTTGACTTTTCGCCCACCGGACTGGCATCATTTTCACGCATCCTCTACTGGCTGAGTAACCATGTTGAGAGAAACTTAAACGATACCAGGAGTTTCAAGTATGCAGCCGGATTAAAGATTCACTAAGTGCAAGGATGGTAAATCCCTAATCAACGAGCCAACATAGATACAAGTGACAAACGAACAAAAAATGAATTTCGAGAATTCATGATCAGTGAGATGATTGAATATTTCGCAGGTGTCGAAAAACAACAATTAGAGCTCTCGCTCTTGATTGATAAGATCGTTACATAACCAACTAGGATCATGTCATGTCTGACGCGCACTCACATCATAAATTACCAATGGTTTGCTGTAAGAGGTGATTCTAACTTAAAGTTTGTAAACGCATCAACGCATCTTCATTGCGTGATTTGACCAATCATATGAAAGCCTCAGAGAAGTAGTACCACGATAATAACTTTCCAAATGAAAGCAACTAAGTGGGTCTATTTTCCTGTACAAGGCAGGTCTATCTTCTTGTTCTATTCGAAATGCACACTGTGGTCATTCAGGGAAAGCCAGCCGCCTATATACACTTACATCAGTAGTACCTTATATTATTTTTCCCACGGTGATTGAAATGTTTTGTTCTTCATTATTTTCAAATAAACTTGGGGTTTTTTCTTTCACAGATGATGGGAATAGGTTCAGTTGTGGTCAAAACATTTACGAAAATCCTTAAATATACTTACGAATGTCAGTAAAGGTCAGCGCATTATACCATGCGAATTTTTAATACATTGGCGCACTAGGCAACCGACAGTAAATTTTGCAACATGGTCCTCTTAAACTGGCTATGATTTCACTAGAATATGATCTTAGCGATGAACAGCAGCCAGTTTCCATTAGGCCTCTGGTTTAAATAAAATCCTCTAATAGTATTTGCCTGTCTGGGTCCTTGTTTATTCTTATTGGTTGACTAACTTACCCGCCAAATGCTAAAGCAGTCGAAAAAGAATCGCGAAAATTCCACTTGATTTTGCCCCACTCTTGGAGCGGGAAGAAGCTCACAAAAAAAGGCCCATATTTGTTGAAGTCAGTTCTTTTAAGTCCGCGACAGAGATAGATTAATTCCAAGCTGTCCACCTCTACAATCACTGATTCGGACATTCGTTGTAAAGTGAGTTTGTGCCATTTGAGGTCGGCAAACGAGCCGTTTATAAACCTCTGATTTCCCGTGCATTTGCCCATAGAAATACGAACTCTTAATAGCCCGTTTAACAGGAATGCATCCATGAACTCTTGAACGCCGCCATCATCCATGTAAAACAGCATTCCATGTGTTTTTGTTGTTTTGAAGCGGATGACGATTGTGGAATTATCTGTAAATTGTACTGATCTGTAAGCAGAGTAAGCAAAGTTGCCATACTTCCAGGTGTTGTTTTTTGAATTTCTTCGCTGTGAAAGTCCGCCATGGATGGATCGCTGGCAGATGGTAATCGCCAAACAAATCTGAACAGTTAGCCACACTTTTAACATTTTAAGTAAGATTCGATTTGGGCTACAAACTGTTCCCCTCGCAAAATATATCATTTACCGAACACGGAGCAAAAATTTTCGCGCTTTTTATGCGATCTAAGCTCTGTAAAGGTACTGAAATTAAAATTCCCGCAACCAGATGTTTGCAGCTCTTCTAAAAAGCGATAACATTGCGGTTAGGGATGAATTGTGAATTTAAATGACCTCTCATATTC